TTATTTTTTTGTAGCACTTTCAGGGACCCAGCTCCTAGCTTCTGGAGGGGTGAGGAGGAGGAAATGCTGAGTCCCGGAGACAGTAGTTTCTCCCACCCCTGTCCTCAGCACTCATGTTGTTCATCTGGAGTGTGAAATGTTGTCTCAGCTCCTGAACTGTACCCCTCTTTCAGTGATGTGCCCCTGGGCTTACAGTTACATTTCCTTCTACAGTGAGTCACGTGCTGAACGTACCCCAGGGTCTCCTGAGTCTCTCGGGAAGAGTGAGGCTGCATGACTACAGTGACTACAGTGACTACACACTGGTCAGAGCCCCCAGCTCCTGATGTGTTGTCACAGCCTACAACAATCGACAAAGAACTCCTATTTCATGGAGCAAGAACTGTAGGACCTGCTACTGGGGTTCATTATTCAGTTGGAGAATATTTAGGCTTTTGCCAGCATCCAAAAGAGAGAAAAAAGAAGAAGGAAAGGTTACACCTTCCTGAGTTGGATATCAGAAAGGCGCAGGCCAGGTGACTGACCGCCCAGCTGGGTTCCCTTAAAGAGATAGTGGCACGTCTCTACATAGGAGAACATCCCTTTCTTTCCTATAAGACCAAGATGGGAGAACTACATTGTATTTAAGAGCAATCATGCAACAAACCTTAGCTCAAAAACAACAACAGCACACACACACACACACACACACACACACGCCAATGAGATGCTAAAGGACCTGGAAGCTTTGATCCCTGGAACCCACATCAAAGTGGAAGGAACTGACCTCCAAATGTGCGCAGTGGCACACTCCGGCCAGCCTTCACACACTCATGGACGCATACACAATAACACACAAAACAAAATAATTTTAGGAACATCTAGGTAAAGGGTGAACACGTGGAAACCAAGCGAAGGTGCTGAGTTTGGAAGAACAGCTAGGACACACTCCAGGCCTGCGAACCTGAGCTTGGCAGAGAACGTCTCCAACCAGGAGCAAGAGGCATCTGGCTGCTTGTGCCGGAAGCTCTGTGGAGGGGTTATCTCTTTTCTGAAAACCTTTCAAGCCTGGAATGTTTGAAATTCATTCTCCCTGGTTGGAAAAAGAGAATGAGGACATCTCAAATGAATGTATTCCAGGCCAGTGAGGAGGAAGGAAGCATAGAAGATGCAGAAAGGGACAAGCTGAAACCAAACCAGAGAGAAACGATGTATCCTGCGATTTTTTTTTTTTTTAAGAAAGGCAGCTAACATGAGCTCCAGTGTAGACTTTCTATTTCTTGACTTTTTTTTTTTTTTTTTTTTTTTTTTTTTTTTTTTTTTTTTTAGGGGTTTTTTTTTTGTTTTTTTGTG